AGAATCGTTGATTGTGACTGCAAGTGGATTTGGCGGGTTTTGTGCGCTTGATTTTTAGCCTCTTCTTGTGTCTAACATGTGCAGAGTATCATTATAGCGTCTGTCTGAGATTCCTGGTTGCGTGAAATATATTTGTGAGAATATCTTTTTGAGATTTTAGTAGTCACGTTTTGTTTGTAGTTTATATTTTATTTCTTTCATGTAATTATCATAAATACTAGCTATTCAATAATAAAGAGTTCATCCATATATTTGTACTTTGACGCGAAGCGCTGTGGATTATGAGATGCTCAATGACCCTGGATGGATCGTTTTTGCTTACTGAGCAGAAAATCATGGGTTTAATCCCAAGCTCTGCGTCATGACTCTTAAAATTCATGATCACTAAACAAAATGAATATGTTCTTTCGATAGCCTTTCGATAGGCTATCGAGAGATTAAATAAACAATATATACTTTGCATCGCCAACTTGAGGTGAATCCTAACCGAATACCCTACCCAACCCTTCAACTCCGTAGCGCTTATGAAGGTGTTGCTAAGTCGGTGGCCTCTCGTTAAGTAAGTACTACATCAACATTTCCTTCCCTATCCCTAGTTATGGTAAAGATCCCACGAAACATTGCAAGGTTTATCACGGTTTTAAAGCATGCTACAAGTCTAATTCATAGTCTACAAAACCCCCATAAAACCCTAATTGTTACTTGGGATGGGCGTGGCCGGGAATAGCGACAGTCATGCTTCTATTACTCTTGTTTAGATTGGAACCAATGTTTACTCCCCAGCATTATTTCTGAAAGTAGTCTAACTGAGAATTTCAGAAGAGACGTGAGTGTCGCTAGTATCCAATCTACGAAGTTTATCATGACAACGCTTACGCCTGTGTTTAGTGTGTACGCTGTGTTTGCGTGTATGTGTTTTTTTGTTTCTGTAGTAATTGCACAATTACAGAGCTGATATAACTTTGAATAGGATTAAGTACATGTTTAATCATAAATCATACTTCAAATTACTTCAAATTATTCTTTTGAATTCTTTTAACTTTAGATTTAGGGCACTAATAATGTATAACGGAAATGATAATTTGGCCCTGTTAAATTTATTCGATTGAGCCTGTACAAATAAAGTAATTAACAAATAAAAAAAACCTCTTAACCCTCCGTTACTCGCGCTGTTGTACTTTGTACAACACGCATGAGTTTTCCATTGCCATTTTGTTGCTGAGTTACCAATCGATCTGAAACCAACCAGTATTCCTCAAAAAACTTGTTTTGATCTAAACAAGCTAAACTTTGATTGCAGTATACACCTAAAAAACGCGGATAATAGGGAAAATGTAAATGGAAACCGCGTAAACTTTGACCACTACATGGGATTTGACTTAATTGATTGCAACATGGATTATATCGAGATCCTGGCCAGATAGATAGTTACTGTCTTGGACAAAGTTGTTCAGGAGGTCAAAGTCTATTGTTTGGTGCTCAATAGTTCAGAATTTTCTCACTACACGACGCTAGTATACACGTGAAATTCTCATGTAAAGTATCTCGAGTTCCCAACCAGATAGAAAGGTACTGTCTTTGACATAGTTTTTCAGGAGATCAAGGCCTTTTCGCAGGTGAACAGTAGTTCAGAGTTTTCTCACTTCGCGCCGCTACTATACATGTGAAATTCTCACCTATAAAATATCTCTAGTATTATGCCTTTTTACAAGTAGGCTCGCGGCATAATCAAGGAATGGATGCGGTGTCCTCATCTGTTTATCCCAGTGGGCAGAAGAGGATCGCAGAACCTCGAAGAATTTCTTTTCCTTTTAGCGGTGTCCAAACCTGTGTATCCCAAGTTGGGCAGGAGAGGATCGCAATCCAAAGTGATTCTTTGATCGAAAGTATCTGGCTTTTTTAATCAACTGCTTGGGTTTATAAACGGAGTTATTGTCATAATAAATTTTACAATTTGTTGCATTGGCATGGTGTGATTTATATTTAATTACTGTAGGCAAAGTGAGATGCCTATAACGGTGTGACAATTCTATGTTTGTTTCATTGATGTCAATGTGCTTGCTAGGCTATTAGCGTATTGAAAGATGTAACATGATCCGCGCATTCGGGTTCGCTGTTCTGGGTGTAGGAAAGGTAAATTAATAATTCTGTTTGGCAAGGCTATGGTAGAAGTGGACGCTACTGACGTGAGTGCAATTGTATGATATGCATTTTTCTGTCTTATCGGCAAATTTAGCAAATTTACAAATTTCAATTCTCACAGTGGCGTAAATGATTTTAGCTACATATGACACTAGATCCAGATAGAAAGTAAATGTATTCGGCATAGTTTTTCAGGAAGTCAAGATCTTTTTGTTGGGTGACAATAGTTCAGAGTTTTCTCACTATGCGGCGCTAGTATATACGTGCATTTCTTGTATATTCAGCTCGAGATCTTGATCAGCTAGAAAGTTGCTGTCTTCGGCAAAGTTGTTTAGGAGGTCAAGACTTTTTGGCTGGCAGACAGTAGTTAAGAATTTTCTCACCACGTGGCAAATTTTTCGTTGAGATCCAGCAAAAGATATACCGAGCTGCTCGGTGGTGCCCATCTCGGCAAAAATCTAAGTTTGTAAGTACATCCAAAGTCATAAAGAAAAGGCCTGATAATATGAAATTATCATCTCTTTCATAATACCGTTATTCCTACGCTGCTAGGAGTGTGATGTCGAATTTGTGGTTACACACACTTATCCTAAATCTAAATGAGAAGAATCTACTCAGTTCGTCTAAAATGCGTAATGTAATGTAAAATGTATAAAATATATACACACGAGTTAGCCAGTCGAGCCATAGGACTATCTCAGTCGTGACATTGTTTTACTCAGTTGTCTGGAGAAATTTCCAAAAATCGTAGTGCACACAGCGCTGAGTAACCTACTCTCCCGATCATAAGCTTAAGTACTTACATAATACATGCAAATGTGTTTTGTTAAAATCTCTCTCATTTTTTGAAAATAATATTGACCAATTTGCTACTTCGTGTTTCCATTCAAAATCTTTCAAATGTTCTAAAAAACGAAAATTGGACGTAAAATGACAAAGATATGAACATGTTTTTTGGGGGTGTCCTTAAACATATAATCGGGAGTGTACGATTTTATAAATTTCTCCATTCAACTAAGCAAAATTGCCTCCCTCTTTGAGTTAGTCTCGTTGTCCGTGCACACGTAAATACAGGGATTTTTTTTTGTTCTAGACCCCTCGATAAGACACTTTGAAATTAGCCTAAAACGAAAGGGAGACTCTAAATATTCATTTGGTGGAAGTTTCAGCGATATTGATCTTTTAAGATAATGTTTTCCATCTGAGATACGTGTCACCACTAATTTATCAGAGGTATACAAGTGGAACGACTCACCCCAATTTATGGGTCCACAAATCTGCATGAAAATCTTCACCAGTAAAAGAAATCCAGAATTTATTTGTCTTATCCAACTTAGGCTGATGTAAATTGTATTTTTATTATATGATATTTGATATGGGAGAATCGCCCGCCAAGTTTTGAGAAATTTCTGAACTACTTTTCATCAGCCAAAAGATCTTTATATCCTTAACAGCTTTTCCAAGAACAGTAAATTTCTAGCTGTTCAGGAACTCGAGATATTATATATGCGAAGAATTCACGTATATCTTAGCACCGCGTAGTGAGAAAATTCTGTACTGTTGACCAACGAAAAAGTTTTGATCTCCTGGACAACTTTGCCGATGACAGTTTAGCAGGTATCGAAATATATCTAATGCGAGAATTGCACGTGTATAACAGCGCAAATACAATGATGTGAAAAAAATTGAATTTCTGTACACCAGCCAAAAGGCCGTGGCCCCCTGAACAACTTTGCCCAAGACAGTAATATTCTATTTGGTCAAGATCTCGTTATATTTTATATGTGAATATTTCACGTGTATACTAGCGCCGCTTAGGAAATTCTCAACTTTTGTACTCCAAGCAATAGACTTTGACCTCCTGAACAACTTTGTCGAAGACAGTAACTTTCTATCTGGTCAGGATCTCGATACAAACCAAATGCGAGAATTTCACGTGTGTACTAGCGCTACCTAGTGAGAAGATTCTGACCTACTGTTCACCATCAAAAAGTTTATGATCTCCTGAACAGCTTTGCCCAAGACAGTAACTTTCTATCTAGTCAGAATCTAGAGATATTAAATATGAGAATTTTACGTGTACACTAGCGCCGCGTAGTGAGAAAATTCTGAATTACTGTCCACCTGCAAAAACACCTTGACCTCTTGAACAACTATGCCGAAGACAGTACCTATTTATCTGGTTGGGAACTCGAGCTATTGTATATGCGAAAATTGCACGTATATACTTGCACCACGTAGTGATAATTTTCTCAACTACTCTCCACCAGCAAAAAGTTTATGATCTTTAGAACAATTTTGCTCAAGACAATAATTTTCTATCTGGTCAGGATCTCGAGATTTTCCATGTTGTAAGCAATTAAGTCAAATTCCACGTAGTACGGACACCGTTTACGCGGTTTCCATTCCTATTTTCACTATTATCCGCATTGTTTGGGGGTAAACTGTGATAAAAGTTTAGCTTGTTTAGTTAAAAACAAGTTGGTTTCATATCGATTGGTAGTTCGGCTGCAAAATGGCAATGGAAAACTCACACTGTTGTACAAAGTACAACGCGCGAGTACTCGTGTTACAAAAGTTGGCGCGAGTAACGGAGGGTTAAACAGACCAAACTCCCAACACTAGACAACGGACAGCACACAACACTCAGTAGACCAGTAGGGGAATTCAATTTTTTACTAACAGTTCTACCGACTAAAGCGGGAGCCGAACCCTCACTTCGCATACAATTACGCCTGAACGACGGGTGACGCCACTTATCGTACATCCTCGAAGCCCGTTTCCTAGGTCTCCCGTGCATGCTCTTTCAATATATCTGCTTGTAATTCTTCTCCTTTCTTTTTTTTCCCTTCCATCAGATATCAACCCGGTTGATCATCTTCTTGATGCTAGCGGCAGGAACAGGGTTCGAACCGGGTGCAGTGACAGCGATAACCATCACAACGACGGACGCCATGCTGGAATCGACACAGACGACCATCGCGGCCGATATGATGACCGGGCTGGGTGGCGAAGCGACGGTCAGCGAAAAATCCGACCTGGTCGAGGCAGAAACAAAAGATCCAAAAAAGCTGGAGATTATCAAGCAGATCAGGAAGTTCAACAACGACGGCTCGTACACGGTGGGCTACGAGGCGGACGATGGCACCTTCAAGATTGAGAGTCGAGATGTGCTGGGCAATGTCAAGGGGACCTATGGGTTCATTGATGAAAATGGAGCGATTCAGAGGGTTTCGTACAATACACATAACAATACTGGGATCAAAAGTGCGACCCCTCCTCAGGTAACAGAAGATGTGGTCCATATTCCACCTAAGTTCAATCGGAGTCACATTGGTGCACCAACGACGAGAAGACCTCCATCCTATCATTCCAGCACTTCTGCTCCACAACGAACGAGCGTGATCCAGACAATTCCAAGAAAGCGACCACACATGACTTCAACGACGGAAAAACCTACATCGAGAATGGTAGATACTACCAGTTCGTACGAACCAACGACCGCTTCCAGTCATAGCACTTCGGTGCACACATCGAAACCTCTGTTGATCATTCGCCCAACACCGCTGCCATATTCAGCGAAAACAATCGAACAGCTGGCAAGGCCTGACAAACTGGAGAGTGAACACATATCCAAGATCTACCCGAAGGCTTCTCCGTTAAGGCAGAAGGAACCGGAAAAGAAGCCAGTTCGGGGAAATTTCCTACGACGACAGTTGCCACAAGACTCCGAAGAAGAGTTTGAAGCACAACAGCAGGTTGTATATGGCCAATCAGCTGGCGAAGAGATTGCCAGTCTATTCTCGGCAACTCCACCCGGGCTGAGACCAATCTACTCGACTACTCCAAATCCCAGAATTCCTGCTGCAGTGCTGGCAGCTCGCCAAAGAGCGGCTCAAATTCAGAGCCTAATCACCAGCGAACGGCCTTCTACCACCACAGAACGAGTCTACGCCAAACCCCCTCGCAAGCATGAGCCAGCTCCAGTTATGTACGAGCCAGCTACGGAGCCATCGTCAGAAACTAGCTATGTCACCGAAATGCCAGTATCCGTAGTTCAAATTCCCGCAAACTCAAACCGAGAGGTCACGGAAGCTGCTGAAGACGAACGAAGAGTCTACCGGCAGCGACCGATTGAATTCCGACCTCGGGAGGGATATCGCTACTCACCGGCTCAAGATCGAGCTGAAAGATACCGCGTGCCACTAGGAATCCCATCACAAGGTCGAGCCTTCCCAATACCTGACCAGCAGCAACAATATCTACGAGAGCCAACGCAAATCCCCGGTCGAGGACATCAAATTGCTCCGGAAAACTATCCAGCAGAAGACGAAATCAACAACGTAGCATACCGGCAACAACGTCGACCACAGGGTCCTCCACCTGCTCCGTACACCCAAACTCAACAGGAGGCTCCCGTTAACAACGTACAAAACGGTCACAGTTATCCACAGCAGTCTTACCCTGTACCATACTCCTATAACCCCTATCGAAACCAGTACCAAAACCCTGTCAACCCGTACTACGACTTCCCTGACCGTCCTCTAACAACCCGTGACTTTGAACGAATCCTACAAATACTCATCTTCCGACACCAACAGGTTCAACAACAGCAAGCCTTCCGATTCGGAGGTTATTCCAATCCCTACTACGGTGGCCCATCCTCCTACGCACCACCCTTCATTCCAGGACAATTTGCCGGAGCTGGTGGTTACCCGGCACAGATTCCCCGACCTCCATTCTACAATGCAGCCCCGACCGGAGCAGGCTATTTCGATCCACGCTATCAAAACCCCCTCTACAGTCCCTCGAACAGCAACCGGCAGTACTCCGGTGCAGGTCAACAAACTTCCACCGCCGACTACCAGCAACCTCAGGAGCTGCAAGGAGCCTACGGACAACGACGGCGGCAGTACAACCCACGGATCGATCCCGACTTCCAGGGAACGTCCGGAGCCGCAGGCCACATTCAACCGGAGCTTATTCCCCCGGATGTACGGGAAGAACTGCTCTACCGGATGCTGATGTTGGCGATTCAACCGGAACCGGCATCACAGGGATTCAACGGGAATTTGATTCCAGCCGGATCGGTCCCGAGGCCACAGACGACGTCCGCTACGCCAAGCTACAGTAAGAAACCGGTGCGGAGTGTACAAATTCTGGGAGAGGAGTAGAACGGGAGGCGAGTCGAACGCAACTGACTGTAACCTGTATGTATATTGAGAACTAACATTGACATTTGTTTTTTCGATTTGTAGTATTTTTGTCGAACCTGTAGGGTAGTGTGAATAGGAGTTTTGTTTTCATTAATTTGCCGTGTAGAATAGTGAGATTTATAGATGATAGGAAACAAAGTGACCCCCAAAGATTTTGATATATGTGTTTGAGTTTTTCGTTTTAAACGGTAAGGTTAGCTTGAGGGAGATCGGCGAACGTGGGATGTTTATCGGATCAGGTTGGTGGTTGGTGGGCGGCAATTTATTCGAATATTAATAGGAAAGGTGCGGGTCCAATGTTCAATTGGCGGGAAATTCAACGTTGTGTAAAGTTTGAACAATATTTTAAATAGCATTTGTAAACAAACTTTCTAAGGCCCTTTACACGCGAACCAAAGTACACCCACGCAAACCAATTCCACTTTCGGAAAGGTAATAGTTCCCCCTATCCGATGATATTGTTGGTTTGCGTGAGCGTACTTTGCTTCGCGTGTAAAGGGCCTTAGAAAATTTGTTTACAAATGCTTTTGTGCCGTTATCAAATGTTATGCCTGATATTATATTTCTTATTTTATCTTAAAAAAACACTTCTGGACCCACCGTGATAAAAGGTAAAGTTGTTGATGAAGCTTGACATTTAATGCAAAGATATTTCCAAGAAGAAGAAGAAGAAGAAGAAGAAGAAGAAGAAGAAGAAGAAGAAGAAGAAGAAGAAGAAGAAAAATAATCATTATGGCACGTCAAGAGTCTTCAAGGGGTTGGTTCGAAGCACTTTACTATCGCATTAAAAGGCTCAAGATGGTCTGAAGGATTTGTAGAGTAGGTCTGAGGGTTTCAGGATGCAGATTTAGTGCCCTTTGTGATAAGGAAACATGGAACTTCAACATTAGGACCGGTTTCTGGACACGTTCAGGGAAAATTGGTTCAGATAATGTGTGGTTTAATCCATCCGGCCCAGGACTTAGGATGGTTCTCTGTATTTGTTACAAAGTTCTTTTCAAAGAAAATATCTCGCCCAGTGTTAGCAAAATCATCAATCAAACTATATGTTTTCGCTCTCACACGCTCTCACGTGATATTGAAAAGAAATATCACGCTTGATATAGATTTTACAACCTCCTTACGAGACTATTCACATCATGCAAACATCAAGCTGAGGGTTGACTCGTGATTCCGTTGCACATCGTTTTCTTGGAAAGAGAAATTAAAGTTTGCTATCTCTCTTTACTCTTCACCGGTGGCGGAAACGAAGCTACTGCTGCCAGCGGTGACGGTAGTTCCGGGTTGCGTACGGATATAAAGCAACAATCACGCACCTCAAACTCACCACGCTTTGGTTAGAATTGTAGCTGGTGATTTTTGTTAGCTTGATATTCGTAGCTGCGATATCGTGGCTGGTAATATCATGCACAGTTTCTTGCTTGTTGATTTTAGTCTACGAAAATCAGTGTGATCTTGAATATTAGTGAGATTAGATTTTTGGATATTTTTCCAACACTGATCTCACCTAAAATCCAAGATTATTTTTCAAACTCTACAAACGCACCATTACAAACCTGTTAGATTTATCTTATTGGTTGAAATGTCTTGACATTATGTTTGCTTGTTCTAGAATTCCAGAAGGTCTCCCAAATGGTCTATCAAGTTCTTATGATTACACGGAAAGTTTACTAGACTTCAATTGGATACAGATTGGAGCCATAGTTAATGGATAGGATTGGGAGATTTCAGATGACGTCAATGTGTCTGGATCTGAACCTGCTCTGAGGCATATAGAGACGAACCAGCCAACAGCTGAAAGTCTCTTTAATAAAGTAACCTAACCTAACCGTCTGAGGCATATTAAGAAGGGTGATGGGTCATTAGGTCGAATGCCACTAGGCCAAATGCCTCTAGGCCAAATGCCTCTAGGCCAAATGCCTCTAGGCCAAATGCCTCTAGGCCAAATGCCTCTAGACCAAATGCCTCTAGGCCAAATGCCACTAGATTGAACGCCATTAGGTCAAACGCCATTAGGCCAAATTCCATTAGGCCGAATGCCATTAAGCCGAATGGTATTAGGCCGAATGCCATTAGGCCGAATACCATTAGGCCGAATGTCATTAGGCCGAATGTCATTAGGCCAAATGCCGTTAGGGTGAATGTCATTAGGTCAAACGCGATTGGGCTGAATATCAAGGGACCGAATGGGTCTTTAGGCCAAAATTTTAATAAATGTTCCCATTTCATAAACGGGCTTCCGTATTGTTCGGTAGCAGCAAAAAGAAGACAACATTATGCTGGAGCAACGGCTCATTTAAACATGAGGAGTAGTTAGCCATGCAAAATTCATAGGCTTAAATCCTTCAGGTGGAATTGTTTGTATACGCCTGGTTTTCATTTTGTTTCCATATCTAGAAAATTTTAATCTTGAATAGTTCTTGTTGCCTTATTATTCGAATCGAGTGTTTTACTCTTCTTAAAATGATAAGAATTCTGAAGCTGGATATGATTAAAAGTTCAAGACATTTGACACCGTCTTCAACCAGAGGTTGCACATACCGAACACTTAACACTAGACAATGGACAACACACAACACCCAGTAGACCAGATGGGAAATTTGCGGGTTGTAAAAAGTTCCACCGACTGGAGTGGGGATCGAACTCTCACTTCATGGCACTCACAATATGTCTGAACGACGGGTAACGCCGATAACGGCACCATCACAAAGCCCACAAGACAGTTCGGATAGAGATCTGCAAAATTTCAAACTGTTCCAATGTGTTGTACCTTCTGAGCAAAATCTATCACTTTTATATTTTCGACCCATTCGACTTAATGACTTTTGGCCTAATCATCCATTCGGATTAATGGTCTTCGGCATAATGGCCTCCGGCCTTATGAAATTATGCCTAGTGGCATTCGACTTAATGTTACTCTGCCTAATGGTCTTACACCCTAAAACAAGTGAGAGCCGAACTTGGATAGAGGGTCAGATGAGTTTTAGCTATTTCAATAATAATTATCCTGAAGGTTGCTTAGATATGCCTTTGAAGACAATTGGTTCTGTAGATTCATTAAGTTTGAATTATATTTTTTTTAAATAAAATTGTTTATCACTACACGGTTGAGTGCCTTGGATGAATCGGTTTGCGAATAAATGTATCCGGGTACTTTTGGAACTGGAGCCGAGTTTGTTCTAGGGTATGTTTAGTGGTCTTCAAAGAACTTTGGGACTGGGTTCTGATGACCATCGATTGAGAAAAATGATGGAAGATTTCACAACTGCTAAGGTCTTCATGCCTTTGAAGGTAGCTCCAAAACCGATCAGATTTACAAAACTTCGAGTTAAATCCGGTCAGTACTATCGTTCTAGGTTGATTGGAATGGCTCACATAGTCATTCTTTCAAGCTTACTTTTATAATTTTGCGGGCCTAAGGGCTGTTCATAAATCACGTAAACCGATGAAGTACGGGCAAGTTCAAGTTGGTGCAAGCTGGGCCCTTATACAAACCTAATACTACAGACAAACAGACATAACACTCACAATCACATTCATCGCAACTAATCTTTTAGTTGGGAATGTGCTTGCATTTGTCATGGTGGCACCACTGAAGCATTGAGCAAGCCACCACATTTCGAGCTTATCAGTGATGCCAGTTCTTTTTCACGTCTAGTTAGTAGATGTCAGCTCTTGAAAATGATAAGTGGTCAAGGCATCCCACTGGAGACACATGCCACATCTCGCGAATGCAGAAAAAAAGTTGTTGAATATTACATCAAAACTGCTGCACATTAGTCATTCCGTTCCTAATATTCGAGAACAAATCATGTTGATGACTATTATATTCTATCAATTTTTACCAGTTATTGATGTTCAATACTTCACCATCAATATCATTGACTGATACATATTATTTTTTCTTCTGTGTACAGATTGAAGTGATGAGTGGTGGTAGAAAGGGCACTAATAAGTGATGCATTACCTTGTTTAAAAACTTGTTGCCAGCAAAATAAAAAGCATACAAAGCAAACAAAACAAATCCCTAAAACAAGTCTTAGCTTCTGAGAATTTTTCCTACGGATCCGTATTTCTGCAGAATTCAATCAATTCTATAGAACCGACATCACTGACTTCCATCTGTTTTGTTTTTATTCAACAAAGCTGACGCGTTGACAGAACGAGGGAAAAGCAACAAGTGAAAAAATTGCATGCAAGAGGGATGCTCCGGTTGCAAAACATTGCTTGGGAATATGGATGATAGATGGTGCTAATGCGCATGCAAAATACGCTTGACGATATTTTTTGAAAAATTTTCTTCTAAGAGTTATGTCTGTTTGTCTGTGCTAATACCATGGGCCCCATTAGCACATGGAATGGAGTAAAATTAAATGGAACGATTCGTAGCCGAACGCATAATTAAAATAAAACAGCGAATAAAGCTACCATACACTCGCTTTTCTTATGGACATAGAGTTACTAGAAGTTCAAATTAAAAATGAACCTCGTTAATATGCATGACACGTGGTTCAAATTAATGGGGGTCCACGGTAATCATTTTGCATTTTATACACAAAATAATCCCCACCAAGATGAAGACCATTTGATCAATTTCAAGTTCGCAACCTTAAATTTCGAAGTTTGGCATTTCTAATACTTGTGCTAGTTGTGGAACTTAAAAACTTCTCACGTTACCTAATCTTCTCCTTTATCTCCCGCTCCATGTCCGGAATATTTAATTTGGAATAAAACACCCTGAACCTTGAAGATTTATCTACATTCAGGATCATATAATTTTCTAAGCATGAAATCTTAAAAAAATATTTGCCTCAGAATTTCTGTTTTTTTTTCTATTTCTGGGTCCAGGATCTCGAATTTCCTCCATAATAATCTTGGAAATCTTCTGCAGAACACTTTCTGAATTCACTCTGAAATCCTCTTCATATTATTAATGATTCTAGAAATTCCCCGAAAAA